AAATCTTTTTAAAAATTAAAAAAAAAAAATATATATATATATATATATGCATCAACAAAAATCACTGCATGTCCTCCAGTGCTGTGAGTTCTCGGAGGGGTTATCAGCTCAAATTCTGAGCTGATAAAAGCCAGTCTTCACCCTCTAATTAAAAATATGGGATTGGGGTGCCTGGGTGGCTCAGTCGGTTCAGCGACTGCCTTCGGCTCAGGTCATGATCCTGGAGTCCCAGGATTGAGCCCACATCAGGCTCCCCGTTCAGTGGGGAGTCTGCTTCTCCCTCTGACCCTCCCCCCTCTCATGCTCTCTCTCTCTCATTCTCTCTCTCTCAAATAAATAAAATCTTTTTAAAAATATGGGATTAAAACATATACCTTCAGAAATTATTTTGATATATGTGTACGTATCAATATAACATGTATGTACAAAGGGAGCTACACACACACACACACATACACACATACAATTTCAAATGACTGAGAATAGAAATTGAGCAGGAATTAGGCATTAAGTCAGGGGCAGTGAGAAGTACCGGCTCATGGACATGGCATAACATTTGAATAAGAAACCACACAATCTGGCCAGTAAAGTTCAAAACACCACCACCACCACCCAGACATCATGTACTCTCAACAGGAACCTCAAATATATAAATTAATGCCTAGGTTTAAAAAATAAAAAGGAAAAAGTATATAGAAATAAGAATCTAAAAGCTTGATTAATTATAAGATGCATTTGCACTGTTTCTCCTGGAAGACTGGAAAAGACACACATGCCTAAAGGGAGAGGTTGATCCCAAGCACCCAGTAGGATGGTGGGGGCCAGGGTTGGGGGTGGGGTGGGGAGGGCTGGCTTCAGGCTCCTTCCACTCTCCCACCCCACAGCAGCTCCACGCTGGTCCGCTTTCTGCAGTACCATTCCTCATAAATAATCTGCTGAACAAACGTCTCTGCTGAGAAATTGGAAATCACTGGTGTGATCCAATTTCCCCATTCTACCAGTGAGAAAACTGAGGCTCAGAGAAGGTAAAGACTCATGGTCACTCAACAAAGTGCAGCAGAATTAGAACCTGAAGACCTCAGTGTCCAGACTCCCTGTCTGAGGTTCACTTCCAAAAACACCCTCATGCAGCTGCAGACTGTGACCCTAGTGGATGTCATTACATCAACAACCTCAACTATGCTTGAAAATGAAGAAATGTGACTCATCATTAATTCCTTGAGGAGGGGAGAGCATCCAGCAATATTTAATGAAGTGTTATGAGTCAATGGAACTAAATTAGGAATCAGATGAAGTTATTATTTCAGAAAGAATGACGTAAGGAAGCAGACACATCTCTTCCTGAAAAGTTGTATAAATCAAATAATGCCTAAAACAGATTAGGGAAACCTTCCTAAATTAATAATAATAGAAACAACAATAAAAACAGCAGTAGTAATAAAAGCAATAGCTATAACTTATTATTATATACCAGGTACTAGACTCAACACTTTATGTGAGCTGATATCCTTATAACATAAACATTATTATTCCCATTTTTATAGATAAGAAAATCGAGCTTAAGCCCAGGGATAGGGTGACTGACTGTCCTGGTTCATCTGGCACCAAATGGTTTTCCAGGGGTGGAACTTCCAATACCTACAGCAAAAACTCCTGGATAACCTGGAAGGGCTGGTCACCCTACCTGTTGGGTTGGTAAGTGACAAGAACTTTCTTCCATGTCTGCCTGACTCCCCAACCACCACCACCTTCTATGGGATAATTTCTCTCCATGTGCTACAGTCTAGACTTGCACAGACCAGTTTAAAGGAAGGCATGACTAATATCTTACAAAACAAGATGTTCACATGTAGCTTCATCTCCTTTTATAAAAAAAAAAAAAAAAAAAAGATAGAGAAAGCCCTGGGAGCCTCGAGCCTCCATTCCTCCAGAAGAGTAAAGAAGGGGCACTTACCTTGATCTCAAACTCGAAGTGCTCGTCCTTCCCTTGCCCACACAGCACATAGCGTGGAATACTAATTTTAATTGGGTCCTTCAGGTCGTCTGGATTTGCTCCCAAAGAGCGAGAAACCATCCGCTATCAAAGACACATCAGATAGGGAGAACAAAGAGAAACCGAGATCACTCCTCAGCAAATACCCTGCTTGGGCAGGCAGGAGAAAATGTGTTTCAAGCAGAGAAGAGAACATCAAATTAGTGGAGTTTATTTAGAAAAATGATGGCTTCCTTTGAAAGAGAAATGTTAAGTCTCTCTCATCACAAAAGACCATTTCTTTAGGTATACTATTTCAAGAAATTAGGGTAAAAGCACTTCAAAATGTTGTTTGGCTTTGAAGTTCCTTCCAATTTATAAGAACAAGTGAAAAAAGAGACAGATTACATATCCCAACTTTTTAAAAAAAAATCAATGTAAACCAGATTCCTTTCTGAAAAGTCTTGATCATCTGACAAACTTCTTTTTTCTTCAGAGACTATCAGATTGCTGTACATAAAGCTCCAAAACCTCGAGATTTTATTCAAATTTACTTCATTTTTAACTTCTAGGCATTTTTATAAGCCAGTGTAGTACAGAAAGCTCTTTAAACCACAATTAAAATAAATACCAAGTATTTTCTTTAGGCTTCATTTGATTAGTAATCAACCTGGCTCTGACAAATATTTATGGTTTGGATGGTGGGAAGCCAGAGGGGTTTGAGAAGGAATCATTATGAAAAAAATAAATCTTCAAAATGAGTTCTCTTGAGTATAAATGGGTGGAAATCTCTGAACAATCCTTATCATTTGCACTAACCTGGGGCTTTAGACAACACAAGAAAATATGTTTTTAAAGCAGTAGCAGTAATAAAATAATTATAGTTAGCATTTATTGAATACTTACTATATACCAAGAACTGTGCTAAAGAGTTTATATGCATCATTTCATTTAATACTCACGATCCCCCATGAGGTATTAACCATTACTGAACCCTATTTATCAGATGAGGGGCCCCAGGCTGAGAGTCAAGATAATATGAAAGAGGCAGGTAGCAGAGCTAGGATTCGAACTCAGGCTAACCTAGTGCCCACCTGTGCACCATGATGCCTGCCAGCCCACCTCCATCGACTGTAACACTGCCATCAGGAAATTTTTAAATAATTTCATCCATCTGAGATAGAGCCAGCTAATGGACATTTCAACATACACAGAATTTAAGAAGATGGAAACTCCATGATTCCACAGTGATTCCATTCCTATTTGACTAAAAAAAGCACTGGGCAAAATGTGGTCCTGGATCCTGAGCCAGGTGTAACGTGGAAGCTCGGATTTCTGGATGACACAGAGGTGTAGAATCTGTCTCAGATTACTGCTTTTGTCTAGAGGACACTGTAAATATTTTGGCCCTGCTTGGAAGTTAACAAAGCCTTTTAGAGCATCTAATTTTTCCCTGCATGGCCAGTCACCCAAAACAAGAACCATTAATTTTATCAAAATGGTACACCTATTTAGCCGTCCCTGATGTCAAAAACCACAGTGGAAATTCTTTAAAAAAGAGTTTCTCGATATGTGCACTGCCAAAAGACCTTTCAATTCACTGACAGTATGTTTCCAAATTACTGTAAAGGTGGACATTTCCTGAAACATGGACTATGTTTGATCTATTTGAAGAGCGAGAAGGAAGAGAAATAATCTAGTAGTTTTAATGATTTTCAAAGAGCACATTTACTGTTAAGAAATGTCTCTGACCATAGCTGAGTCATGAAGTTCTTGCTCTGCTGCCTAAGCCCCGAAATCTTCTATGCCATACTTAATAACTATATTTTTAAGTAGGAACAGAATTTCTTCTCCAGATCTGCCACAATCACTTGGGAAATCCACTTGTTGCAGTGTGTGTGAGTTTGAAGCTTAAAGTTGGCAGCAGTGGGAAAACCCGCTCAGCAGAGGGGAATGCTGCTCTCAGGAACTGAAGCAACAACAAACAACTGATGATACTAGTTGAGAAATAAAGACCCACGCACCCTACCTTAGGAGGAACCTTGCTCTCCCTACCAGTTAGACCCAAAGGCCAATACCACAGCTCATTTGATGAGGAGCTCTCTCTATCCTAAAAGCCTAAAATGAGGAAAAGGAAGAAGGAAGAAAGGTAATCAAATTCACTAGGAAGAGTGTATTATCATGTGTATTATGGGTTCTTAAAAAGATGTGGATAATAGCATCAAGCATAAATACTCGGTACTGAAACTCAACCATAATGAGCATCCCTGAAGCAATCACCTGGGATCCCATAGGTATTCACTTCAAAGATTCGGAGAGCGGAAAGAGAAGACCTTTCTTCTCTTTCTCTAAGAGAATCAAATCCTAGCATAAGGACTTGGTCTCAGCCTAACAGTCACCCGCCCACCCTCTCTGCACTTCAGTCTCATGTCTATGGAAATGGGCATAGTATTTAGCAAATCCCATCTATACAGCAGGAACCCAACTGTGAACATGACAGTGTCCTGCCCTGTGGGACTTCTGTTTAGAGGCAGACTGACAAGTAAACTTAATTCGGGCAGGATTAGAAAACTGTGATGGCGGTTTATAGCATCATTATTTACAATAGCCAAGCTATGGAAGCAGGCCAAGTGTCCAACGATTAATGAATGGATAAAGAAGATATGATATATGTACACAATGGAATATTACTCAGCCATAAAAAAGAACAAAATCTTGCCATTTGCAACAACATGGATGGAGCTAGAGAATATTATGCTAAGTGAAATAAGTCAGAGAAAGACAAATATGTTACGATTTCACTCCTATGTGGAATTTAAGAAACAAAACAAATAAGGAAAAGGAAAAAAATGAGACAGACAGACAGACAAAGCAAGAAACAGATTCTTAATTAGAGAGAACAATCTAATGGTTACCAGAGGGGAGGTGTGAGGGGGGATGGATGAACTAAGGTAATGGGGATTAAGGGAGTGCACTTGTCATGATGAGCACCAGGAAATATATGGAACTGTTGAATTACTATATTGTACACCTGAAATAAAAATAATGCTGGATGTTAACTAACTGGAATTAAAATAAAAATTTAAATAAAAAAAGAAAATTGTGATGGGGGCACCGAGTAAGCAAAACTATGAATATACACATGGCTATCTAAATGCCATGACTTTTACTGAGGAAGAGCTGCAGCCAAAACTATCCAGGTATATTATTAACTAAGCAATAGTGACTTAATTTTAACTTTCTAAGAGCCTTTTCTTATAGGCACCCTTTGGGTATACAATCAAACATTGGTATCTTTTACTGATCACCCACCATGTGCTATGCACAAGGCTAGATCCTGGGAATACAAAATAAAATAACTTCTACAAAGTCTCTGTAATTTCTAAGACCTTTAGTTTTTCTCAACTGCATCAAATTTTGAAAAAGATTTGGTTTTTCCACTCCAGATGGATTACATTCTAAAGTTAGCCAACTTAGCTTTCTCTTTTTATAAGTCAACATTCTAAGTGGGATAAGACTGAAAGTGATGGTCTGGTTACTACATAGACATTTTAAGACTGGAAAGTTCTCTATTTCTAAGAATTTTATAATTGTGAAATCAATCCCTAGTAAAAGCAAAGTTGCTTAAAGCTCGGGCTCACTGATCCATTAAAGAAAAAAAAGCCCTGCCTTTGATAATTTACAAATTTGGGTAAATGGGTAGGAACCCATTCTCTGGGAGGAACTGGATCTTGTAAGGTTTATGTCGTTCACCTAAATCTTATAATGCTTATGTCACTCACCTAAATGTTATGTCACTCACCTAAATCAGGTCGTGATCCCAGGACCCTGGCATCAAGCCCCTCACTGGGTTCTCTGCTCAGCAGGAAGCCTGCTTTTCCCTCTGCCTCTCCCCTTGCTCGTGCTCTCTCTCAAATAAATAAATAAAATCTTTTTTTTTAAATTTTATTATGTTATGTTAATCACCATACATTAGTTTTTGATGTAGTGTTCCATGATTCACTGTTTGTGCATAACACCCAGTGCTCCATGCAGAACGTGCCCTCCTCAATACCCATCACCAGGCTAACCCATCCTCCCACCCCCCTCCCCTCTAGAACCCTCAGTTTGTTTTTCAGAGTCCATCGTCTCTCATGGTTCGTCTACCCCTCCGATTTCCCCCCCTTCATTCTTCCCCTCCTGCTACCTTCTTTTTTTTTTTCTTAACATATATTGCATTATTTGTTTCAGAGGTACAGATCTGAGATTCAACAGTCTTGCACAATTCACAGCACTTACCAGAGCACATACCCTCCCCAGTGTCTATCACCCAGTCACCCCATCCCTCCCACCCCACCCCCCACTCCAGCAACCCTCAGTTTGTTTCCTGAGATTAAGAATTCCTCATATCAGTGAGGTCATATGATATATGTCTTTCTCTGTTTGACTTTAAATAAGTAAAATCTTTAAAAAAAAAAAAAAAGAGCCACTGCCCCAATCACATGATCAGACAGTGAAGTTTAACTGCATCCTGTGTTGAGAAGACAGATACTTCTTTCTCCATTATTTAATGGCATGTTGGGGCTAGAAATATTGTTACCACCCATAGGCACAGTTTACTTCAATCTCAAAGATTTCAGAGTAACTAAATATTAATGAGTGTAGAGAAATGTACAACTGCAGAAATGATTAACTGAAAAATAAGCTAGGGATGTGAAGACATTTGAGTTTTATCTATGCATAGATGAACAGAGAGACAAATCAAAAGAGTATGTGTTTCCATCAAACCACTGCTGCAGTGTAATTTTTAGGAACTACTTTTTGAAGTCAACTTCATGAGGAATGTAGAATTCTCAGGACACAGTGTGAAAGGTTCCTGACATTCTCCTAAACTACGTTTATGTTGGAGAGGAAGGAGAACTAACATAAATGTCTCCTAAATTTATTTTTTATTTGAATGTAGCTATATTTTGAATATCTTGAGTTTCATGCTAGACAAGTAAACGTGTGCTGTATCATATTATATCCTATTATTTAAGGGAGCTTTTAAATTTCTATGGAACTATTTATTTTGGAATCAGTCCCAGTTTCTCCACATGTGGCAAAGAAGATGCTTAGACTTGGAA